AGACATACATAACACAAACACACAGACATACATAATACAAACACACAGACATACATAATACAAACACACAGACATACATAATACAAACACACAGACATTCATAATACAAACACACAGACATACATAATACAAACACACAGACATACATAACACAAACACACAGACATACATAATACAAACACACAGACATACATAATACAAACACACAGACATACAAAATACAAACACACAGACATACATAACACAAACATACAGACATACAAAATACAAACACACAGACATACAAAATACAAACACACGAACATACATAATACAAACACAAAGAGTATGACAAGACAGTTATACAAACAATGACATACACCGACATAAATAACACAAACACAAAGACATACAGAGTATGACAAGACGGCTATACAAACAATGACACACACTTTCATACACAACACTGACATACAGTCATACAGAAGACTGATAGGCCGTCATTCTGAACACAATCACACAGACAGACAGAATACTTACACTCAAGCACACAGAATACCTACAGACAGGCATACAGGACGCTGACAAGTCATTCATTCAGACAGAACAATGACACAGCCGTGTACAGTGCTCACACACAGCCAAACAGAATACAAGCAATCACACAATGATACATGTAAACTCAATACTAAAACACAACCTAACAATGTGTAATACTGACTCTCTTGTGACATTAACTTTTCCCTGTTATCTGAAACAAATGTTTTTATTGAATCCAAAGCCATAAAACTGACGCTGATTGGTTTGGTGTTAAAGTATCCCTACTTTATGCATTTCTCATTCTTATAATTCACTGATTGTTTGCCACAGCACATTGCAATGAAGTATGCAATATTTAGTGAAATTAATGTACTCTAGTGAATTGTCCAGTGTTGGTATTTTTTAGTTTTTTCCGGATTTTTGTCGTTTTATATCATCTAATATGATTTATGTTTTAGACATCTAAACATATTCAGCGGCACCTATAGGGAGAGTTATGTTGTGTATGGCAAACTACTCTGAGGGATTTAATATCAATGGAACTAACAAGCCACATTTAGATTTGTAGAGTCAGATGGGAGACGATCCCTGAAAAATATCACTGGCTTCTGAATATAGGAACCGAGATGTTCATGTCACTGTCAAATATACATTGATTTTGGCAATATTAATTTATTTAGGATTAATTTGGTTCACATGCCACTAAACATTGGCCATTATCTGTCTAGGAGTCCATCCTCGCGGATCTTCTGTCACGTGACAATATTGGACAAATCTCCATCTCAATTCTTTATTCACATCTAACTATCACTGAGCTTTGATATGTTAATACAGCTTAATTAATGAAGCCTTCAGTCATCGCCCGTGCTCTATGCTTATGTCCAAGTCCTGGTCCCACACTACATTGTTGGTTAGAACCTGACAATGCACCCCCAACACGCCGACCAACAATGTCTCTGCCACCTTGATAGATCACCCGCTATTCTAATGCACAGAAAAATGTATTAGATCGGATATGAGAAGGGAATTATGTAATCTGTTCCGCATTTGAACAAATATGTCCACGTTATCCGTTCGGTACCGGACACTAAAAGATTGAAGAATACGGATATGATTATTTGTGTGCTGTCAATTCCATGTGCAAATGTACCTATCTTTATAGATGAATGAATGTTCAGTTATATCTACAGTGGCAGCGCAATTTGCATAATATTGATGCTGGGAATAATATATATATATTCAGGGCTGATATTTTTCAAAGTTACTCAAAATGACAAGATGCTACTGACTTCCATAATTTCAATTAATTTTCATTTCACTGTTAAATCCTTCTATTGACAAGGCCTGACATTAACAAGAGCTGAATAACAGATATCGCTCAGATTAGTTCTTTTCCTTACGTGTCGTAATTAGCTGACAACTGATGGCCTATACAGTATTAAAAGGCGCTTTGGACGGAACAAATACACCATCATCTATTTTCCTTGCGTATGTAAAATTCACCTTGCTACCGCTTCAAGTACAAATAACCTGCATTGACAAATCCAATACAAAATTCCCCACACTGATAAACCCGATACAAAATTGCCTCATACAGACATATCAGATACGTAAACTTTGAAATGGCGAAGGAAGCCGAGAACTGGGAGTGAATATATAACAAATCAGGTATGTGTGAAGCGAAGTTGTTTTCAATCGCGCTTTATCAATACCTGTTTTGTTGGTTTGATGGTTAGTCGGTTAAATGATTATTGTTTAAGTATATGAAGAAATATTTAGCTAAGTGTCGTCCTACCAACCGACGTCGGTTTCAACGTGTTAAAACAAATGCTGACTATATTTATAATTGACATAGATCGTTATTAACAGCAGCTGGAAGAATCGTATGTTTCCAAAGGTGCTGATACCTTTGTTTCACAGTTATACATAATGCGCCAACAGCGAATATCACCTTTCAATCAGCGATGACAAAACGACATTCCCAAACCTGTTGAGAATTCTAAATATTCCTACTATATCTGATGCCGACATTCATCATTGCGTGGCCATTGTTTACACATGTGTGGTGTATTGTATTGCAAAGCTTTTCACATTAGCTTATGACTACAGACAGTGTCTACACGTGAAACGAGATTCCATTTACAACTTTGTCGAAAATCGAGAAACCTTGTTATAAAGTCATCAGCTGATCTACAGCGGTGCCAAAAATTAGGGGGTGGAGTTGTGCTAAATAACTGTGTGGGAAGTCAAGCTTCTCTTAATTACAACATCACCAACACATTTTTCGTACAGAATGTTTTTTTCAGTTTGAACTCAGTTACAATCACTAGAAGAGGAAATCGTCCTAGTGGTCGGATGTGCATTTAGAGATATCTTGTATGACGCCTACCACTTCACCGTATATTTTCTATTTTATTAACCATCACTACGGTTGGTGTCTTAAATTACGGATCGTGTATCAGTTTAATTGATATACATCAGAAATGCTACTGCTGGATAAAATTATATACAAGTTGTAACATTGCAACGTTAAAACTTCCAGACAATTAACGTTTGTGCCATAACCAAATCTAAACAGATTTAAAAAAGAAAAATACTAATTGATGAAGAATCTGATACTTTCAGAGGAACCACGACACGAATATTTTTAGTATATAACTTGGGGAAAACCTATTAAGATTTATCCCATATATCTGTGACTTGTCAGTGGTTTTTCTTTGTGTTTATCCCCAATCCAATTAATTCTAAGCAATATTTATTCAATAGATAAAACATATTAAGACATGCATGCAATGTATTTGGAATGAAAAGAAACAATATTAAGTGTTCATTAATTCCTTCACAAACGCCGTGTATATCATACTACACACGTGACAAATAGTATTATGTTAGGAAACATAGAGTAAGACAACCCGCCTGACAGTGTCAGTAAGGATACTTAATGAAATAGGATTAAATAGCATGTCACGTTACTGGAAATTTGTGTTTTTAAGTCTTTTTACCTGATTATTGAAAATATGAAAGTATATAAATCATTTATTCGTCAGATGAATAAGTAAAATCAATCTGCTGAATTTGACGAAAAAGAAACCACTAGATGTTTTTTCTGTTGTTTAGATGATCCTACAATCTGTAATTCACAACAAATATAAAAAATTGTAATAATCTGGTAAATACCACGTAAATTTCTTGTAACAGTACCAAAATATTCCATGCCTTTCTTGAGTATAAACTTTTCTGATACGTTTTTAAACATCCATACTGAGACCGGAGTTGAATTTTTTATCAAATCAGTGTTGAATTTTTTAGTTGAAATTTGAAGTAAAAGGTATCCATTTTAAAGCATTTATCAATATCAGCTTTGAAATGCGACATCAACAGACACTGACTTTTTTGTTTGCTACCAAGTACATTATCTTTGGAGTAGTTAAAAAGTTATATGGACTCCAAGAAAAATGTCATATACATATGTATATACCAAGTGTAAAAAAGCGATCAGTCACATCTACTGATCAGTTTTGGATATAACTTCCCAAAATAACATTCGAGTCTGATTCTACAATCTTACCTATCCATCCCCATATCTAGTCCGCAATATCTAGTAGATTGTATTTTACCTACCTTACAAAGTATATAACCTCCACAAGCCTTGTATTTTACCTACCTTACAAAATATAATACCTCCATAAGCCTTGTATTTTACCTACCTTACACAGTATATAACCTCCACAAGCCTTGTATTTTACCTACCTTACAAAGTATAATACCTCCATAAGCCTTGTATTTTACCTACCTAACAAAGTATAATACCTCCATAAGCCTTGTATTTTACCTACCTTACAAAGTATTATACCTCCAAAAGCCTTGTATTTTACCTACCTTACAAAGTTTGTTACCTTCATAAGCCTTGTATTTTACTACTTAACAAAGAATATTACCTCCAAAAACCTTGTATTTTACCTACCTTACACAGTATATAACCTCCACAAGCCTTGTATTTTACCTACCTTACAAAGTTTGTTACCTTCATAAGCCTTGTATTTTACCTACCTTACAATGTTGGTTACCTTCATAAGCCTTGTATTTTACCTACCTTACACAGTATATAACCTCCACAAGCCTTGTATTTTACCTACCTCACAAAGTATATTACCTCCAAAAACCTTGTATTTTTCTACTTAAAAAAGAATATTACCCCCAAAAGCCTTGTGTTTTACCTATCTTACAAAGAATATTACCTCCGGAAGCCTTGTATTTTACCTACCTTACAAAGTATATTACCTGCAAAAGCCTTGTATTTTACCTACCTTACAAAGTATAATACCTCCATAAGCCTTGTATTTTACCTACTTTACAAAGTATGTTACCTCTATAAGCCTTGTATTTTACCTACCTTACAAAGTATAATACCTACATAAGCCTTGTATTTTACCTACTTTACAAACATTATGTTGCCTCACACTGTTTCTGACATTTCTTACCTAACAAAGACGATCACGCCGAGATCATGCAGGTCATCCTTGATGAACTCGAGTGTGGATTTGAGAATTGTTTTTTCTGCCGGTGTGAGGTATGCGCTGAGTCGGTTCCGGTTCCGCCCCATACAATGGCCAGGTACGTTGCCCATGTCGTCCAGGTTTTACAGGTTCAAAGCCTACACTCGACAAGTATCTATATCATCTAGGCACTGACTGGATTAGGCTAACCTACCGCAGCCATAAAATATTCACTTTTGTTTTGCATGTGAAGCTTTCTACAGCAAGCATGCACACTTGTTTACATTCTCATGTAAGTTGTTATTGTCGTTCAATATCTCGTGCGACATAAAACCATGTAGTTAAACATGCGCATCTGAGTTGAGGCATTTAATAATTGCTTCACGAAATGAAAAACTGTGACTACTGGGACGCTATTGGTCAGATTCATCGCCACTTCCGCCTACAAGGCTACAGCACGTGCAGTTCACCAATATGCATATGAATCCGATACATGTTAATGATATGTATGCTTGCATCAATGTTTCAAGCTGTCGTCCTTCATACACTGGGGGTGAAATCACATTCAAAATTCCATATTTTCTTACATTAAACATGCAAGTCTGTGTGAAGTTTGAAAAAAGTTCAAAGTTGCCTAATAATGAACGACGCATATCGATTTATCACTTTCACTTTAACCGCAATGGTGTGTCTGTCAATCGAATGACCGTCCGTACGCTTAAGCGACATATTACAACATAATGCCTACCCGGTATTAGCACATCTCAGACTGTATTTCTACGTCCATTAGGCGACGCGTGGAGTGCGGCGGTGCTTTTGAGAGGCTGCCTGTCATTAGGCGGTCAGAGCTGTACCGACACAGGAAAGCCCGTGTTACACGGAACACCAATCAGCGCCCTCAAACAAGACAAAGGAAACACGGAAAGTAACTAACGTCTAAGAGCTATCCTTATGAACACCTCTTCAAACACTGTGTAACGTGTGAACTGTAAGGTAAGGGAGGTCCTGTTGGCTTAAAAACCAATTCAATATGGGAAAAGTCACGCACGGGAAAAGAATGATGGCTCCGTCAGCTAATTGTCCATTGGTAGACTTCAAAGACTACTAATTCAAAAGCCATCGTAAGACTACATTTCTTCATTAGATAACAAAATGGAAAAGCTGCTGATGCATAATTGAGTTGTTTGTAATTTGACAAAAATGATTTAGAAGTGTATATGTCGCATCAGTGTGTTGGATCTTTGTTTCTGGTCGATTAACCATCTCAGCAGCAAAAAACTGCAGATCATTACAATGGTGTCAGTTTTTATAACAATAATTATGTATTCATTTATATTAACACTTTTTTCTTCGAAAATCAATGACTATCATCACGGGACCAAATTTGTATTTTGCGTCTATATTAATAATTACATCTCTTAGTGTCTTCTTAGTCACTGATGAGTATAGAAGGGCGAAACAGCTGTATGATATAGTTTAATTCATTATCTAGCTCTGCTGTATCTTACTATATAAATTTGCATTTAACGGTACCATTCTTTTGTGTGTCTTTGGTACAATAATCTATTCGTTTCTACACAAATTATCATATACTAAGACCTTTGATTACAAGTGCATTGTAGAAAAAAACATTTAATAAAATAATGATATTTTATATGTTTCTCGGTACCAACCAACGCATTTTATGTCATTTACAATAAAACGAATGCAATACATGTAATAAATTTACGGAAACCATGTGATTTGATTTGGCATTAATGACGAACGCGTCGCCACAAATTACGCGAAATACATGTTACCTAGCAGCTAATAGCGACTTCCGGTAAATTCATGGGCTATATCCGGTTCTCTCCATTGACAAGCCGTTATGATAATAGTGTCAGACGATTGTCCGTTGATATAATTATTTGACCAATCATTGGACACTGCCGGATAGGCATCTCTTCCTTTATTGACCAGAAATAGACATATCATATGAAGAGGACCGAGTGATGCGATCACCAGTATAAGCATGCGCCGTACGCTCGTCAGTTTCAAACATCATCTATTTGGACATACAGACATTATACGCTTTTAGAATGATGCCGTCATGAACTGGGCAAACATTTTATTCACTGCGAATTATATCATGCTTTCATGATATTCTGAAGTTCCAATGAGATTTTTCTTTGTTTGGAATTAATTTAATTCCATTTTTACAGCGGCATCTCAAGTCCCGTATTTTGATCTCAAAACCTGTTTTTTTTATATATATATATATAACCAAAGATAATGGCTGTCGGAAATCGAACAGGTACTCTGAAATTACATCTTAGTGGAAAACAATACATGTAAAGAAAACGTATGCAGTGTAGACCTAGCGAAAATTTGAGCTTCAACATTGTTTATAAGGGCGGGGCTTATCAAAGGCAAGGTCGAGTTAACCAGCCGAAATCAAAATTGATGCCACTGAAAAAAAGACTTGCGAAGCAAAATTGACACTCAAAAGCAGTAAATTGGCCTTCTCAACAAATCTTTAACTGTGAAATGTTAAAATGTGCTTCCAATTTGTTTAATTCAAACAACCTGGTCATATTTTCAAACACAATACAGAAACAATAACTGAAGGCAATCTGGTATTATAAATGTAGTGATTTGGTGAGCAAAAAAGTTGGAAAATTCTGTCTGGACTAGTATCTTTAAAACATTGTGTAAAACGTTTTTTTATTGAGGAAAATAATTTCTTAACAGATTTGAAGCAAGCCCGAATAATTATCATGAACTCATCATTAAGAGTGTCTATGTGAAGTCAATACAAAAAGTCATATATCGGATAGTACAAATGGACAATGCCTACGATATATAGGCTTGACAGTCATTACTCCAATGGGAAGGTCGTTGGTCTTTCAGTTGTAACGGTGAAAGGTCAATAACCGATAGGAAATCTAGAATCGTTCTCGATGTTCATTCTCACATGTTTCGTGTCACGATGTCATGACAGAGTGCCCTGTCCACTCTAAATAAAGTGTTCCCTTACTGAGCTGACTCTTTTATTCATTTAATGCCACGAAGTGGTCAGTGCCCGTTTCAATGTTGTTGACCAGTTTATGTCACAAATTATAGGTTTTGTTGGGGACCCCGTCCGAGGCATGTCCGGTAGTATATCCATCTCACATCAGGGGAATGTGAAATCGTGATGATGTGACTACGTTGATGAGGAGACCACTGTGATGGGGTGACCACTATCTAGTTTCTTCCTCATACGACCGACTTCTCCTGACCGGCGGAATAATTGATGAAGGTGTACACCAAGCAATTGAACAGATCGTGAGTAATGGGTTCCCTAGCGTGCTGACCTGTCACACCGCCACATAGGTTTTCATTAGACACGACAAGAACACGGATAACATCCACTTACATATACAAGCCGGCGTCCATTTGTCGTCATTCACGTGCATTCACATGAAATGACGATCGTGATTTACAAGGAACCATGAGGTGTCATGTCACTGTATGTGTTGCGAGAAAGATTTCCAAAGAATAACTTTTTTTGTGTGTATATATATATATAATTACTGTTGATGAAATTGGACACGATATTCGTGCAGTCATTCACACACAAATTCTCCACCAAGCTAACTTTTGATTCAACAGGTGTCTGCAGTAGAAAATGTGTAAATATGACTGCTACTGTCCTCACATGTAATGTATCAATGTTTCATTATATTTTTTCAAACTCGCTTTTCTGCAAGGAAATAAATAACTCGCTGCAAGATTGACAAGGAACGGTTAAAAGATGTTTGTTTTCCCCTTCACGGCATTTGTACATGTAAATCAACGGGGTCATTGAACACGTGCGTGTCCTTCGTGTGCGGCAAAGCATATCATATGCTCGGCTATGATTCAAAACATACCTATCACATTTTGCTAATTTTAATGTTTACCAAGTTAAATCAGTGATAACGTATGTATATGAAGATATGTATATTTACACTGCTGTTTTTTCAATACCATCACGAGTTTGTGGTCCTAAAGATATAAAGTGAAAAAAGTTATGTGAACGAAAACGGGTTATTAAGCACAGTATTCTAGAAGTCAATGTGTTTAGGAGATCCTCGTCGCTTGGATTATCAGTATAACGTGATCTACCTGTACCTACAAACTATACTTTAACTAAACTTTGTTTTCCTGTTATTTCTACTTTTTTCAAATGAAATATCAACTTATATATGATGAAGTAGTGAATGCAAATAATGGCACCCTTCGGTTTTAGAAATAGGAAATTAAAAAAGTTTGGCTAAGCATTTTTTTGTTTTCCATTTTCAAATGTCATTTTCAGAGAAACGAAGATACATATATTACCGATCAGAATTTTTCAGGAATATTTTTTACAATCAAAGGAAAATCCACTGAAATGATTGCAATGCATAGTTTGACAAACTCTTCATTTTCATGGTCAGTTTTATTGAGACTTTATCACTGCATTGTTTGGTTTAGAAACAGAGACAGTCTATGTTACTGTCTCCACAGATAAAGCATTCAGGAGACAGTCTATGTTACTGTCTCCACAGATAAGGCATTCAGGAGACAGTCTATGTTACTGTCTCCACAGATAAGGCATTCAGGAGACAGTCTATGTTACTGTCTCCACAGATAAGGCATTCAGGAGACAGTCTATGTTACAGTCTCCACAGGTAAGGCATTCAGGAGACAGTCTATGTTACTGTCTCCACAGGTAAGGCGTTCAGGAGACAGTCTATGTTACTGTCTCCACAGATAAGGCATTCAGGAGACAGTCTATGTTACTGTCTCCACAGGTAAGGCATTCAGGAGACAGTCTATGTTACTGTCTCCACAGGTAAGGCATTCAGGAGACAGTCTATGTTACAGTCTCCACAGGTAAGGCATTCAGGAGACAGTCTATGTTACTGTCTCCACAGGTAAGGCATTCAGGAGACAGTCTATGTTACTGTCTCCACAGATAAGGCATTCAGGAGACAGTCTATGTTACTGTCTCCACAGATAAGGCATTCAGGAGACAGTCTATGTTACTGTCTCCACAGATAAGGCATTCAGGAGACAGTCTATGTTACTGTCTCCACAGGTAAGGCATTCAGGAGACAGTCTATGTTACAGTCTCCACAGGTAAGGCATTCAGGAGACAGTCTATGTTACTGTCTCCACAGGTAAGGCATTCAGGAGACAGTCTATGTTACTGTCTCCACAGGTAAGGCATTCAGGAGACAGTCTATGTTACTGTCTCCACAGATAAGGCATTCAGGAGACAGTCTATGTTACTGTCTCCACAGATAAGGCATTCAGGAGACAGTCTATGTTACTGTCTCCACAGATAAGGCATTCAGGAGACTGTCTATGTTACTGTCTCCACAGATAAGGCATTCAGGAGACAGTCTATGTTACTGTCTCCACAGATAAGACATTCAGGAGACAGTCTATGTTACTGTCTCCACAGGTAAGGCATTCAGTAACTAATCCTTGTGTGCAGACATGTTTACGTAAGGACGTACATATGAAAGGAACTACAAACAGGCATTAAGGAAAGAAACCCGATATGAATGTTACTTAATCTTTCCAAAATAAACTAGTTAAACTTGCTCCTTCAGATTACCAATTAGCAGTCAGAAAACTGACCTCCCTCGTAAAGAGTGGATTTCCTAACTTTCCATTTAAACATCACTTTTGTCGTGGTCAATTTATTTTCAAAGCTTACTACCATTCCTTGAACTATTTTCGTGAAAAT